AGAAATTCCGTCTAGTTTGACAGACCAGACAGAATTCCGTCTGGTCTGTCAAACTAGATATATCGGATCTTCCGAAATCAGTCGTGTCCAGGTTGACCCGGGCTCCGCACTCAGCATCATGCCCTATGGAGTCATGCAAGTCTTAGGAATTCTTATGCACAGATTGCACACTACCCAGACCACCATCTTCGGGTTCAATGCAAACAGCACTCGACCCCTAGGGAAGATCAAACTCAGATGAGACGGAAGCAAAATAAACCACCCAAACTAGACGGAATTCCGTCTAGTTGACCTAATCTAGACGGAATTTGAATCAACCTAGACGGAAATTTCCGTCTAGGTTGATCATTTTTCTACTAGTGATTAGTGGGAGTTTACATACCAAAAATGCATAGTGGACAAGATGAGTTTTATATACTTTGTAAAATATCAAATGATTTAGCTATTATACCGACGTAAAATCTTTTTAAAACACTGTCATTGTTTATACCAAAAAGTGTATAATAAAATATAAACTCAAGGAGGTTTAAACCATACTACTGTGATGTCATCATACAATGTAAACTACATCTTCAATTTTTGATACGATAGGTTTCTTACAAATGACTTAGCCGCAGCTTTTAGTCATCAAATTATGCTAAAAGGTATGTATTTGGAATTATCTAGATAATAATTATTATATAAACTTCTGTGAGATATGTTTTAGAAAAAGTGCCTCTTATTTTGATTAGGTTGCTGAATGACTTTGTGACCGAGCATGAAAATGAACTACTGGTTGTTTATGCGATATCTGGATGATTGAAGAAAAATTCTCAAAATGTATTGCATGAAACTTGCGTCAAGATCACATCTTGCAGGTAAGGTGGACAAGCACAAAAAAAAAAAAAAAAAACTTTACTAGAGCTCGATCTTTAAAAAAAAAAAAAAAAAAAACTTTACTAGAGCTCGATCTTTAATTAAAGCAGGTAGTGTGTATTACAATATCACTCTTTAAATCATTGGTATTTTGTTATTAGGCCTTCACATCTTCATATTTTGATATTAGTTCCTTAAATTGCACAAAAAAATATGTTGATATTTTGGTGGAGATTATAAATAATAGGAAATATTCTGTTATTTTTAACTATTTCAAGAAAATTAATAATTATATCCTCACTGCTAATACCCATATATACATATCCTTAAACTTAAAAAACCAACAAAAGAGTTAATCTGAACCCATTTCACAATAAATCTTCTCCAATGACCTAATAAAATAGTAAACTTGTCTTCTTTAACGACTCTTTTTATTTTTGTAGACTATAAAAGCACATTGGAACTCCTCCACACAAGAGGTGGGGGGCAGGGGACACACAGTTTGGTGGGCGAATTAATTGGGTGGAGAGTATTTTGGTAGCTAAATACCCATAGTTAGTCTAATCCTAATCATGATTAAGGATATTGAACATGAAGTATAGAATAGAGCGATTAATGTCTATACACTTTTGCAATTTGAGAGACTAATATGTAGATCTAAGGGACTAATACAGAAAATACTAATAATTTAAGGACTGATATAAAAAAACCCATATATCTATTAATATATTTATTAATTTATATAATTTATGAATACACATGATTTAAGGGACTAATTTCAGAATACTAAAGATTTAAGGGACTGATATTAAAAAAAATCCTTATATGTATTAGTATATTTATTAATGTATATAGTTTATGAATAAATAGAATACATGTTTGCACTTGTTGCAAAAGTTATTCTATAGATGTTGATTGTAAATGAGTTTTGAACCCTAATATTTCTCCTTCTTCATCTTGTTTCATCAAATTTCATGATATTATTTTGTCATTTACATTCACACTACTTGAAAAAATTTTGTGAAGTCTTAGGGTTCTTTTTATAACTAATGAAATTTTAGGGGTCATTTTGACTTTTTAGGATTATTTGTTCTACAAATTTTTTAAATATCTTGTGTTTTATTTAAGTAGGAAATTTTCTACAAAATTAGAAATGTTTGCAATTCTGGAGTTTTCCCAAAATTTTGTAAAATCTAGGTTTTTCTACAAATTTCATAAGGTCTAGGATTTTTCTACAAAATTTTTAATACGTGAAGTCTTTTTAGGTTTTGATAAGTTCTTTACACTTTTTCATAAAATATACAGTTTCTGAAAGTCTTTTGGTTATTCCTAATTTTCATTTTTTATTTTTTATTTTTTGTAAAACCCTCAAATTGTGGAAATTCTTTGGGTATATCTACAAGTTCGGTAAGTTCAATAGATTTTGGATATCATTTAGGGCCTGTTTGTTTGCACGGAAGTAACTGTGAAATAGCAGAAGTAGAGGAAGTAGAGGCTATTTCTGCTACTTCTAGGCAAAAATGTACGTTTGTTTTTCTTGAAAATCCACTTCCACTATTTCCTTAAATAATGATGTGGCGCCTACGTGTCATCCCTATTTTCTTGATATTTTTCCGTCTTCAAATGCACTGAAATACAGCGAAAGTTAATATAGGGTGGGGTCCACCATGAAAAAATGATTTTCAAATAGAGAAGTGAACAAAATTTAGTTAGGTCTAGTTTTTTATAGAAATCATACGAATATTTTGTAGATATACAATCTTTCGTGCCTCAGCCTCCTCGATCCTAAACACATGGCAACATAAAAACTGATTAATTAAGCATTTTCTTTGATTTTAACGCAGCGGTGACGTATGCCAGCGATTCAACACGCCATTATATAAACTACTTACCGATTCGTCGCAAGCCGAGGCAAGTGGCAATTCCCTTCAAGACCCTCCTGTTGCATGAATCCATTCGATTGAAGATGAGTTAGTTTCTTTGAATTGATTGAAAAGAAGAAGAGGGTCGGGGGGTTTGCATAATATAAGTTAATAATATTAGTTTTTGCATAAAACAAGTATATGCAAATGGATACGATTTTTTTTTTTGCATAATATCAGTTAATTACTTCTTAGTAATATTTTGAAATATTATCCAAACAAAAAAAGTAAATGAAGAGGAAGAAGTTCTACTTCCATTACTTCTAAAAATATATGAAACAAACAAAATAATTGCTATTTCCGCTACTTCCTATTTCATAGTTTTGAAAATTACTTCTGTAATCTACTTCTTACTTCTAATACTTCCATTATCCAAACGGGCCCTTAGCTGGGTTAATAACACATAAATAATAATTGTCTTCTTAATTATGAAGATAATTTAGGAGGCGAAAATATTTTATGATGTCATCGAATTATCTTTATATTTGTTTTCAAATTTGAATACAAAGTAATTGATGTTAAGATAAAGAGTTCTATTTTTTTACTAAATAGGTACAAATTTTAAATCATTAGATGGTGTAAAATTTAAATTTTTGTATGTTATCTATAGTAAATAAAATTTTAAGTTATAAGATTTTCTAATTTTTAATTTCTTGAGAAATAGTTGAACCTGGAGATTGAAAAACTATTTATAGCTTGTGTCTTAATAATGATAATTTAATTAACTAGAATATGATCACAATGAAATAATGATAAAGATATTTCTATTAATTAAGATAATTTATAATGTAAATAATTCTTTTAGATTTTTGTACAAAGTTTGTAAACCTTGATTTTTCTACAGATTTTTTAAAGTTTAGGATTTTTCTACAAATTTTTTAATATTTTGAAGTCTATTGGGCTTCGACACTGAATATACAATTTATAAATGTCTTTTAGCCAATCTAATAATTTCGTAGGTTGATTTTATAAAATCTTTAAATTATGTCTTTTGGGTGTTTCTACGAGTTATGCAAATTCTATGGATTTTGTATATTTTCTAGCCTGGTCACTCATGTCGATATTTGTCTCCTTAATTATGAAAATAACATAGGAGTTAAAATATTATCTAATCTTTAGATTGTTAAAGTCTTATTTTTAAAATTTAGATATAAAGAAACAAATGATAAGATAAAGAGTTCTATTTTTTAACTTGTTAGATTCCAAATTCAAATATTCATACTGTCAACATTTTAAATCTTTACCTGTTTTCAGTAGTAAATATAAATTTTGTAAAATCCTGAGATTTTTTATTTTTAACATACGTAAATTAAATCCGATCTTATATACATATTAATTAAAATAGGCTAGGATAACTGAAGCCTTATTCCTATTGATCAAAGTTAATTGGGATAGGATATGATAATAATATAATAACTAATGGTGTCAAGGGTATTCTTGTCCCTATGCGTGTTTGCTAAACTCCCTCCTTTTGATGAAGGAAATTTCAGACGCTTACGCATGTTGATTTTATTATACATTTTGCACTACGATTTTATTGGGCCTCATTCCTTACAAGGTCTTATTACTTTTACCTGGGCTTCCTATGGAAAACTGTGTATTCAACTGGACCATAGAAAGCCCAATAACAGCTTTTCGTTCCGTTGGGAGAAAAAAGGGTTAGGGGTTCAAAGAAACCAGTTTTGGATACGGATCGGTAAGTATTAATGAGTCCAAGCACCATCCAAACCCGAATCCGAAACTCGCTGCTGAGACGCGCCCCCCTGAATCGGGAAAGGCTACTAGCTAGGGTTTAAACGGTTGCGAGGCCGCGCCGCCCCTCTCTTTCTCACACTTATTTTTCAATTATTCTATTTTTTTTTTGCCATATATGATATGAAAAAAATAAAAAATAAAAGAAGATTTCTCGATTGAATAATAGTAAGAGCGGGGCTCCCAACTCTCAGAGAAAACCCTAATTCACTCGCACGCAGCACAGACGCGCACATAATTTTCTTATTTTTCGAGCGAGCAAAAAATCTCGAGAAAATGGGGGACGTCGGAGACAAGCTGAAGGGGTACACGGTTATCAAGGAAGGGGAAGCCGAGATTCTTATGCACACCAGCAATACCGTCTTCTTCAATAAGGCCCAGGTCGGCTTTCCTATTTTATTCCTCGTTTTCTTTTTTCTTTTTTCTTTTTTTTCCCGTTTCCGGGGGTTTTATCTGTTGCTCATTGATAAAGATCGCATCTTTTTTTTTGTTTTTTTTTGTTTTTGAATTGATGCGTGCACAGCATCCAGCGATTTATTTGATAATTTGGGAGGTTATTAACCAGGGGAGGGGAAAAAATCTACCTTTTTAATGGTTGTTTTCAATGCTCAATGTTATTTGACTTATATATTTGACGAGATTTATAATTTAACGCGCTATTGATCTAATACCATCGGAAGCGGGTTTAATCTGTAAATTTTCCTATGACCTGTTTCAAATGGGTGTTGTTGTACGTACTTGAAATTTTGCTACCACGGTGGAAAAGAAGAAGAAGAAGAAGAAGAAGAAGAAGAAAAGATTAATCTTTAACCCTAACTTGGAAAAATTCTGGAATCATTACTTCTTTACTTGAGCAAAGTCGAGGTTTGATTTCTTGCTACAAATCTTGTGCACCGATTATTTGGTAAAACAAATGTATGAATCTGGTATAATGACAGTGTCTAGGTATTGCTAAGTGTCCAAAGGTGCCCGAGAATCTTGATGGGGGGCCACACTTATGTCTCATAAACTCTTAAGCAAATGTCTAGAAAATTGCACGCCTTCCATTTGCTGCTAGATGAATATGTCATATACGCTGGCTAAAGGATCTACTTATGTTACTGAGGTTAATTAGAACACGCCTTACCGTTTACTGACGAACATTCGTTATATTCCTGGATAACATCAACCTCTCGCGCATCCCTTCAGGTTAACAACCGAGACATGTCCATTGCTGTACTGAGGACGTTTATTGAAAAGCGCAAGGAAGAGCATGCTGCGAAGTTGAGTAGAAAGGTAAAATCAGATCATAAAGCGCCTGAGGCGACATCTTCCGCTACTGCTGTAGCAGAGGATGGAATTTCTGCTCAACGTGAAGCATCAAATGGAGACTCTGATATCCTGCCGAACCAATCTACGGGTGTAAAAGACAAGACCGATGATGAGCTAGTAAATTCTGATTCAGCAGCAGGACAGAGAGAACCGAAAGCACCGAAAGTACTTGAGGTGAATGTTTTTTCCACCTTAGGTTTAATGTATTTCCTGTCTTCAAGTAAGGTATTATCTAAGGACTTACGTTCATGAATTTTAGCCTACCTCTCGACCTCAAATCGTCCTTTACATGTTTTTCTTTGACTTGGAATTCTTATCACGAATTATGTAGGCTTTGGCTGCTTCTGGGTTAAGAGCATTGAGATATGCTCGAGAAGTAGACGGGATTGGTCAGGTTGTAGCACTGGACAATGATAAAGGTACCTGAAAGTTTTCAAGGAGTTCATTGTTGTTTGCTATATCTTATTAACAATTCTTCTGGCTGAGTAAAATCACTTGTTTCTTTACAGCTTCAATTGAAGCTTGCAAGAAAAACATAAAATTCAATGGCTCTATGGCATGCTCAAAGGTGGAAGCTCATCTTGCGGATGCTAGAGTTCACATGCTCACTCATCAAAAGGAATTTGATGTGGTAATTACTTTTTTTCCCCTTTACAATTTGTTAAAATCACTATTAATACATACATCAGTTTCTAGTTTCTACTCTGCAAATTGTACAACCTGCATATTGCTGAACCTTGCATCTCACTTGAGTTCAGGCTAGTGCAACCTGTGTAGTTATACTTATCTATCTTTATCCTTGTTAGAAAGTAGCTCAACTGTTGATAAATCATTTCTTGGTAACTACGCATGTCAAGCCAGGTGATCAACATGTTACGAGGAGCTCCCCCCACCTCCCATATAGGAAGAGGGGAGCTATGCACCTTGTTACTAAATAAATATATAGCATGGTTTTCTTTTTTTCTTTTTTTTTCTTTTGTTTTCAGTTGAATATAGTCTACCGAACACATGCACACAATTTTTAGTTGAATGAGAATAAATCTAAATGATAACATGCCAATCTAAGGAGTAATCTGCTGTGACATGTTCACTAAAAAAAACATTTATAGCTAATCATTTACAGAGAAAAATTGAAAAACTCAACATGAAGGAAGAGAAAGAAATAATAGTAACTTGGTCTGCTTGAACTTTTCTTTGATTTTGTGATGACTGGTTTTATATAGTCTCATACATGTTTTTGTTTTTTTAAGACAAAGCTTTTATCCTCTTACTATTTGCTCTAGATGTTAATTGTTTACGGTCAGCGATTTTAGTCTGTTACTTGGTTCTAGTCACATTATGAAAGAACAATGTAAAGAAGTGCAATAGAGACCAATATTGATATCTTTTATTATTTTTTCTTGCTGTCAGTAACCAGTATTGATATGACTTCATTGGAAAGTTCCTAATTGTTTGAACTCTGCTCTTTCAGGTGGATCTTGATCCCTATGGATCACCTTCTGTGTTTTTGGACTCAGCTGTACAATCGGTTGCTGATGGAGGCATGCTAATGTGTACAGCTACTGATATGGCAGTGCTATGTGGGGGCAATGGGGAGGTCTGCTATTCAAAGTAAGATTTTGTACTTTTAGGCAGGGGTTTCAAAAAGTTGGGCTACAAATTACTAACTTTTACATTTGGAAATCAGGTATGGCTCCTATCCTCTGAAAGGAAAATATTGCCATGAGATGGCTCTGAGGATTCTCCTTGCCTGCATTGAGGTAATTCAACACCTGAATTAACCTTCATTGGTTGGTTGTTTACAATTTTGCCTTGTTTAATTTATGTTATTCACTGCCTCTGACTTTTTCATATATGTCTGCTGCAGAGCCATGCAAACCGCTACAAGCGTTACATTGTTCCTGTCCTCTCTGTGCAGATGGATTTCTACATCAGGGTTTTTGTTCGCATATACACGTATTTTTCCTCTTCTTCCATGAGTTTATTTGGATATTGCCCATTTGTGCCTTTCTTGTGGTTTTTATCTAATATTATTGTATCACATGCATATATACACAAATGGTGTTCAGTGTTAAAGTTTTCCAAGACACTGGAATGCTTCCATCATCTTAAATTTTGAAAATCTGCATTAATTGTCTTTTGGGAACTTGTCATGCCAAGAAAACTTAATGGAACAAAGAACTAAACTCTTTGAAGGCCAATGCATAATTTTTTGTGACTTCTTGGTGTGTGGTTTGAATATTCCTCTTACTTATCGTGCAAGATCCCATTTATTTCAAAACTCTCTATGTGATTACTTTGCCTAACCTAATTAATGTGTGTTATGCATAACATCATACCAATGTTGAAAATAACGATAAGGCACAATATAACACTCTACCTCCTGTTAAGAGTTAAAGAGAGGAAAAAAAAACCCGTAAGGCATAACATAGGTTATTTTGTTTATTAATTGGTTACATATTTTACGAATACAAAGTATTCATAATGACTTTAATAATTAAAATCATCAAAATTTTCAAACATAATATCTCAATTAGGGACAAAATATTTTCTTAGTATTTAAATTAAAATATATAAAATATGTTCATAATAATTTTAAGAATTAGGAACAAAATCATAGATTCTTAGTACAAAAATATTTTAATAAAAATTCTTTAATTTAATACAAGCTATATGGACTTTGTAGGAAATATCACAATCGAATACCCAAATGTATAATCATAAATTTATAGCTCATTCATAAGAATATTTGTTTTATTGGTCATACTATAATTTCATGATCGCATAATGATGTCATCAAAACAAGACATGGTGGTTTAACAAACAATTCGAAAGTAATTACTTTACTAGTTCAAGTTTTGAGAAAGGATGTACTCTCAAGTCTCAAGTCTCTAGAACTTATATTGAAATAACACATGTTATATTGAAATAATGTATGTTATATTGAAATAACACTTATGTTATTGTAAATTTGTAATAATGTAGAGTTATGATGTGTCCGAGTTATTTCATAAGGTTATGTAACATTTAAGGCTTGTTAGGTTACATACACAACATAAAGAGTTTCTTAACGGGTTTTTTAAAACTATGCATCATACCATGTGAACCAAAATTTGTTGAAACAATGAACTAAACTCTTTGAAGATCAATGTATTATATTTTTTGCGACATCTTAGTGTGTGGTTTGGATATTCCTATGACTTATCCTGCAAGATCCCATAGAGACCAAAACTCTATGTGATTACTTTGGCTAGTTCAATTCTTCTTCTGCATAAGATCATACCATGCGAACCAAATGTGTATAGATTAAAGGGGAAGTAGCAAGCAACATGTACGAAATGTTCAATTGATCAATATGACCCATTGATTTCAATTTTCTATGTGATTACTTTGATATGCTTCCTATGCGTGAAATCATACCATGTGAACCAAGTTTGTATGTAGATTATAGTGAAAGTAGCAAGCAACATATATGATATGTTCAATTGATTACTATGCAGTTCTGCAAGTGCAATGAAGAATACTCCCCTGAAACTGTCGTACGTGTATCAATGTGTTAGTTGTGATTCGTTTCATCTGCAAAGTCTTGGGAGGACAGTGACTAAGGTATGAATCCTTTTCTCGGCTCTTGCAGGCGTCTTATTTTTTCTCCCCCAAAAAAGTTTAGGAGGTTAAGCTTTTGACAACTGATGTAGGTTTTTTTTTCCTTTTTTTTAATGATTCAAGAATAATAGCGTGAGGTATCTGCCAGGCTTTGGTCCCGTGGTCTCTCAGGAGTGTGGTGATTGTGGTAAAAAGTTTAACATGGGTGGGCCCATATGGTCTGCTCCCATGCATGATCAAGATTGGGTACTTTCTATTCTAGCAAATGTTAAATCCATGAAGGAAAGGTATCCTGCATATGAGAGAATTTCTGCAGTTCTAACAACAATATCTGAGGTACTATAGTGCTATCACTTATCTCTTAAATTCATCTACTCAAAATTGTTGTTAAATGTCCTATTAATTATATTAGGTAGATATTCTTTAGCGTACTACTGTCGTATCCAATAATTTCAAATTTCGACCATGATTAACATGGGTGGGCCCATATGGTCTGCTCCCATGCATGATCAAGATTTGGTACTTTCTATTCTAAATGTTAAATTATCCTGCGTATGAGAGGATTTCTGCAGTTCTAACAACAATATCTGAGGTACTATAGTGCTATCACTTATCTCTTAAAGTTATCTACTTAAAATTGTTGCTAAAATGTCATATTACATCATATTAGGGAGATATTCTTTAGGGTAGTACTGTCGTACGCAATGATTTCAAATTTTGACCATGATTCTTAAAACTATTACAAACTTAATTTTCTTGTGATGGGCATTAATTATAGTGTGGTTAATGGAAAGGATCCATGTCCTTGTTTGGTACCATCAAAACCTTAGAACAGTATTACACTTAACACTAGTCAGATCAGTCTAATATTTCTGTCCCTGGTTTTACTTTTGTGATAACCTTTTGAGTATAAATAACAAAAGGTTCTGATCAAATGATCATTAAGATTGATTTTTGCATTTTTGTGAAACAAAAGCTGTACTAATTTTTTGCATCTCCCCCTTTCTCCAGTATAAGATCATCCTTTAGAAACATTTGAGGTTTGTTTTATCATTTTACCTAATGCTAAAGCGTGGAGTTTTATGACTATGTAGGAATTGCATGATGTGCCTCTCTTTGTCAGCCTCCACAATTTGTGTGGCACTCTGAAATGTACCTCCCCATCTGCTGTTATGTTCCGTTCTGCAGTAATTAATGCTGGATACCGCATCTCAGGCAGCCACGTGAATCCACTTGGCCTTAAATCTGATGCCCCAATGGATGTCATTTGGGACATTATGCGCTGCTGGGTATTTGCACAGCCCCGCTACTTAGTAACTTTTGAATCTTCAGTATACTTCCAATTTATTTGTTTCTGTGGTTGTTTCCCACAATAGGTCAAGAATCACCCAGTGAAACCGCAGCCAGCAGATCAGCCGGGAACTGTGATTCTTGCTAAAGAACCAACACTTCAAGTGAGTTTATCCTTCCATCACAGCTCTTATATTTATTTTCTCACTAATACTATCTATATATATGATTTGCCAAAAATGTAGTGTGTGGTACACACACTGCTCAGTATTGTTTTTGGCTTTCTTATTGAAACTAGATTTGAAATGATTTCGAGATGATATTCTAATTCTGACATTTTTCATATCTAACATTTGGGTAATTTGGTCTCAACTTTAGATTTCTAGGATGTAAAAGAAATTCAATTTGCAGTGTTGGAATTTGTAAATAATTTTTCAACACATTTTAGAACTTAAAAAGGAATTAGAATTAACTTTCGGAACAAGGGTCCACATGTATTCTTCAGATGAAGGTTTTAAATGTTGGCCGACATGTCGGCCGACATGTTGGCCGACATATCGGTTTGAGGGTTTGACCGACACGACACAGACGTTTTCAACTCGTATGTCGGTTTTCAGAGCCAAATTGGAAATATCAGGGTCATATCGGGTATATCGGCCTATTTTTTAGCTTTGAAAAATCGGCCGATATGGTACTTTTTTTAAGATCTGTTTTTTGTTATCGGGTTTGGGTTTAGTGATAAATACCCAAACCCGTTTGACCCGTTCTCATGTTTAAGGGTTTCTTTATGAACCCGATAGAAAGAATTTATGAACTCAAATCCTTATATTATTTACTTTTTTATATGTTTAGTCTATAGAATTTATAAAGTATGCTTATATTGAATTTATGAATGCTTAGATTACATATAGGACATGATATTATACATATGCGCACTACCCGATATAACAATCCGATATTTAGTTAATGTCCCCCGATATATCCCCGATTTCCGCTATCTGACATGGATTTCAGCCATCCAACATGAACCCGACATCCGACATTTAAAACCTTGCTTCTGATCAATTTGCAATGCCAGCCATGCACAGTGGTATTGGTATTATAGTGGCTAGATATTTGATCTCACTTCTGTGAGACGCGGAAATCAAGAAACTGGGATACTTGTTTTCTTGTGAGAAACTGTCTATAGATTCGGAAGTACAATGTCACATGAAGGGTTAAACTACGCTGATGCTGTGAACTATTGAGGCCTAATTCTTTGACCCAATCTGAAAGCTGGATATCACCACACATAATTTTGATCTGCATCTTTAAAAATTAATGAATGGAACGTGAAGCTAGACCTCATATTATGTTCTATGCATGTTTTACTTGTATGCAAACAGGCTCTTGATAATCTCAAGTTGAGTCCGATACAGGCAGGCTTACAAATCTAAGTTCTAAATCATTGATATCTTGCTAGCATAAAATGTTGCATCAGGCAATTCAACTTCTACAGGACTCGAACAAAAGGAAAATAATGTTGGTCTTGTACATATAGGCATTGGCTAATATATAGACTTTACAATGTGTTCTGTCCAGGTTGATCCAATCAAGTATCTGGGCAAGCAATAGCCTAAGTGCATATCATTCGTCAATGATGTAGCCACTGGTCTGAAACAAATCTGGCCGATCCCACAAGTCTAATGAAGCTTAGATAACTAGTAGAGCCAAGACTAGAGATAGGACTTGATAGTGATTAGCTTAATGGACGATATAGTCCTTACCTATATTGAGTGAACGAGTGGGAATCATATTGTCGATCCACCAAAAGTTTGGGATAAAACTTTTTGAATGCTGTTGTTGTTACCTGTCATATTTTGCATACTTTTTCTTACGAAAACATAATTTTCTAAGGCGGCTCTTTTTTTATCGTTATAGGCAAATTTTTCAAGAGCCGTCTCTTCCCTCAGCAAGGCACAAGCGAAGAAAGTGGCAAGGTTCCTTCCAAACCCCGAGAGGCATTGGGGTCCAAAGGTCAGGGCTGGGAGGCGAATAACAAGCAAGCATGTCTCATTGTTGGGTGCTGAGGCTCTAAACGGGACTAACAGCCATGGACAGGGCAAGGGAAGTGCAGAAATTGTTGCAGAGGAAACCGATGGGAACGAAAACATAAGCCATGAAGGAGGCGAAGGACCTGATACAAAGCGTCAAAAGACTGGGGATGATTAAGAGACTAATCTTCAACATGAAAAGTGTATTATTAGTTTGAGGTTCTTTAACTTTTCTGCTATATGAGTGCTGCGCGAGCGAGTCTAATTTATTTGTTAGACGAGTGTTAATTGTTTAGGGATTAATAAAAAATTCTCAAGTGATTTTGTTTTTGTGAAAGGCAGTTGACGTCGTCGTTTCTGAATCGTTACTAACAAATAATCTACGGAGGCACAATGCACATGTAGTCATAATTTGATTTTTGTTTTTTTAAATTGACCCGTTGCTATTTAGGGCCCTAGAAACCCCAGACCATAATCGGTGACGAGAAGAAGTTGTTTTCTTCTGTTTAGTAGATATATGACATGATTAGATGAAGCTCTGAATGGGATTAATCATGGACAATTTTTGTTGCTATTTACTTTGCTTACCTTCTTCTTTTAGTCATGTTGTTTAGTTTCAACGGCGAAGTCGTTGTAGTATAGTGGTGAGTATTCCCGCCTGTCACGCGGGTGACCCCGGTTCGATCCCCGGCAACGGCGCTAAATTTGTTTTTTCCCCTGTTGTTTTATTTTGTAATTTATCCGTCTTGGGGGATAAAAATAAAAAAGAAAGCAACCCTTTGGTCCGGTAAAGGTGCTAACATTATTCAGTGAAGAATACTGTGATATAAAAAGGTTATAAATAATTCTCGACAAAATTCAACAGACAGAGCAACATCATTTTGAGCAAGCTGAGGAAAGTTTGGTTTTTGTTAAATCACTCTGAGCAAATTGCTCAAAATATCTCATCGGCCTCGCTAGGAATATGTTCAACTAGACATTTATGCAAAGTGTTGTGTTCTGATACCACTTGTCGCGCGTCTATAGGGAAGCGTGCTCGCTCACCAAACAAGTCGTAAGCACGAGAAAAGAATAACCAATCACACACGAGCACAATCCAAAACTAAAATACGACAAATCAATCACAAACACAGAGATATACATAGTTCGACAATTTACCTATGTTCACGGGGAGAGGATGAGGAGATTCCACTAAATCAAGGAGAGTACAAAGGGTTACAATCTCACAAAACTCACAAACTAACCCTCAACCAAAGTTTCCAAGTGTCGTTCTTCTGAAGAGAGTGCATCTCCTCCTCCATAGCTTCCCTCAACCTGATCGAATTAGAGTTATACTCTGTCTCCTTATATGTAGAAGGAACCAAATCATCAACGACCTCCACTGATAAAGCATATGCAATCAACACATCTTTGTATCTTGCTGGCCGACGAATCACCATTCTAGGTCTATTTGCTACAATCGACTCCTGAACATGACCCTGCTCCTGAGTCTCACCATCCACTGCATCCTCCAAATGCCCGTCTGTCATCCCATCTCCTCCCAGTGTCATTTCTATAGGAGCCTCAATGGATACAATGCTATCTGGAGTCGGTGAAGTCATATCATCCTCCACTTGCTGCGATATCCTACTAGTTTGGTCTTCCTCCACCTGCTGAGGGACTTGAGGCCTCATCATGTATGCCTCATCAAACGTGACATCTCTACTAATGACTATCTTCTTATCTTGCGGATCCCACAATTTGAAGCATTTAACTCCTTCTCTAAAGCCCACAAAGACTGCTTTCCTCGCCCTCATATTTAATTTTTCATCATTGACATGATAATAAGCTGGACACCCGAATATCCAAAATAACTCATAATCACTAGCCACCAAACCAGACCATAGCTCCATAGGAGTCTTCCCCTGTATCGCAGTGCACGGCAACCTATTCACGAGATGGCTCGTATAAACCAACGTTTCGGTCCAAAAAGGATCTCGACAATCCACTCTGTGACATCATACATTGCACATTCTCCAGCAATGTACTGTTCAATCTCTCAGCCACCCCGTTTTTTTACGGTGTCTCTCGAACTGTGAAGTATCGGCTAATGCCGTGATCTCAGCAAAACTATAAAAATTGACCACTCTTATACTCTCCATCATTATCTACACGAAGCGTCTTCACTTTTCTACCTGTCTGCAGCTCCATTTTCTTCTTCCACTCAACGAATATATCCAGGACCTCATGTTTATGCTTCATGGTATATACTCAATTTCTCCTGGAATAATCATCAATGGAAGTGACAAAATAGTTGGCCCCACTAAGTGATGTGCACTTGGAAGGGCCTTAAATATCTGTGTGAATATAATCCAATATACCTTGGGTGTTATGAATTGTGGTGCCGAATTTCACTTTAGTCTTCTTCCTAAGTACACAATGCTCACACAGCTCCATCTTGCAGGTCTTTGCACTTGTCAATAGCCCATGTTTAGCCAATGTCTGCAGGGACTTATTACCAATATGTCCCAATCTCATATGTCATAAGCTGGTAGTATCCTCCTCTGTAATGATAGAAGTTGTCAGATCCCCTGTAACTGTCTTGCCCTTCAAATAGTATAGGTTATTTTCCCCGACACCTCGCATCACCACCATAGACCCTTTTGTGACCTTCAAAGTGACATTCTCTAATATCACACGATAGTCTGCTGCCTCCAAAATCCTAAGAAAAATGATGTTCTTCGTCAACTGTGGAACGAACCTCACTTCCTTCAGCTCCCTAGTCACTCCGTCACACATCCTGATTCAGACTGTACCAATACCACTAATATGGTATACATAATTATTACCCATAAGCACGACATCCTTCTTTCCAACTCCTCAAAGCTGGAGAACCAATCCATCATAGGGCAAATGTGATATGTAGCTCCCGAATCCAACATCCACTCCGTAGAGTCGACATAAAAAAACTAACGGTAGTGTAGGGTACGAGTAGCCCGAAGAATCTGAATCTGAATTGTCGCCACCAGCCTTGGCAACATTCACCTCTAAAGCTTGTACAACTTTCCCCTTGTTCTTCCCGGGTTTATCCTTCATCTTTGGGCATTCATTCTTTCAATGTCCCTTTTTTTTTTTTTTACAAAAGACACATTGATTTCTACTAACAATCTTATGGCCACCTCTATTCTTCAACTTTGAGCGTTAAATTGGCAGCGGTTTGGACTACCGCCTCGAACTCCTAATGCATCTCTCGATGCCTTTTCGGAGGGTTCGCCATCACTCTTCCTCAACTCATAGTTCACCAATACCGAGGTCACCTTCTTGTAACAGTAGTTCTTCCATTGATCATAGTGAGAACGAATGCACCATAATCATCCTCCAGCAACGAACACAATAGCAACATCGCCTTATCTTCATCCTCAACCATGATGTCCACATTGGCCATATCCGAAAGCAACTTTGTAAAGTTATTGACATGCTCTCTAATAGAAACTCCCCTCTTTATATCTTGAATTGTTAAAATCTCTTCTTCAAGTGAAGTCGTTTCTCAATGCTCTTCGTAAGATACTTCTCATTGAGTGTTCCCCATAATCTCTTCACTGATGTCTCGTTCATCACATCATAAATCAAATCCAACGTCAAGCATTGACCGAATAACTCCTCATGCTCTACTATTCAACTTCATCCAAACCTTATCCTCCATATCATCGGGTTTCTCTTGTAATTCAAGAGTCTACTCTAAGTTCTAGGTATTCAACGCATCCATCATCTGACACCTCCACAAACCGAAATTAATCTTACCATCGAACTTCAGAACATCAATCTTTGTATTATTGAAGCTCAGACTCTGTATCGCCTTCGAAAGGGACGATCTCGATGTGCTTGCTTTACCCATGTTGATGATCTAACTCTTCAAATAAGAATCCTTCAGAGAATCCTCCAAACGAGCCCCAAGCCAAACCCTAATCTCTGATACCACTAACAAGAACGAGATAGATCACAACCAATAAGTAAAACACAATCACCACCAGCAAGACAAACGAATTTTACGTGGTTTGGCAAGTTGTCTACGTCCACGGGGCAAGTAGGAGAAAGTTTTTACTATTAGAGGTAAATATAATACAAATAGGGTTTATAATCTCACCAAAAACCCTCAAACAAAGCTCTCAAAATCTCTCACAAATTCTCCCTCAAAGGATGCACAAATCTCTCTCAAAAGATGCTCAAAGTCGTCCTTTTTATTCACCCTAGAAACAACAATGTTTCTATTTATATGAACGGTAAACCCAAACCAATCAGGAAACTGGATCTAGGCCCAAAAACGCGATCCGGTCGACCGCACATATAGTCCGGTCGATCGACCAGAAGGCTGAAAACTCAGCTTAACGATTACATGGTTTCGGTCGGCCGGACTTAGCCTAGCGGTCGAGCGAACAGGGTTCGCGGTCGACCGACCTAGTATCGCGGTCGACCGGACAGAAAGCCAAAATAACACCCTGTAGCGTGCACGTTTCTGGTCGACCGGACTGCATCCAAAAGTTTGCTTGGTTCGTTTTTCCTGTTCTTCGTCGCCATTTTCGCCGTTTCTACAGAGATGTTGATCATAAAATGAAGCGCACCACTTCGTTTTGTATGGAGTATCTGTCGTCTTACAATGCTGGCTCAGTATAATTTTATGTTTAGATTCCATAAGAATTACAGCAGAAACTGTATTCGGTGTAAAATCTTTATTTATTTCCTTTTTTGATCTCTTGTTCAACCCAAATGCTTCCTCCCCCAAAGAACAGTTGATGTGCCTCCAAGTTCTCATCCTGCATTTGGTGAAATTATGCAATCAAGAACCCGAGAGTGGAAAAAAAAAAAAAAAAGCAGAAACTGCTATTTTGTGCGTCTAGCTCATGCGAAACTTACCATCCATCTCCTTGGATTGAAGGTTAGAGGTTCATGGTATAGACATGGGTCATAGTTCATCTCCCCCATATACAAAATGATTTTCCACCCTTTGGGAATCACAAATCCTGGTAGAAAGCATTATTAGAGTTTGTGCTAAGTATTAGTTCTTGTTTGAAGGGAGTAAAATAACTGAATGTTTCTCTTCAGTTAGTAGGTACTTGAGGATTTTTTTTAGATTATAAAACTCAGAATTTAGAAGGAAAAAAGCATCAAATTTGCTAATAATGAGGCAATTGTGTAGAGTGAAATCTTAGCGCGGAAGTATATTGTAGTAATCAAAGAAAACATAGTGGAAGCCTCAATGACAATCAAGTCATAGTTGGTTCTTTCATTCGTACTTAATCTTCTTGAAAGAAAATCTTTAACAACTGAAATCATTTCATAAGTAAGAAATTTAGATAATCACGTACAGTTACTTTTCTACTATAAGCTATGGGAACCAACCTCTTATTTCTATATCTTCAGTTGTTTTCCTCAAAACTCCCTTAACAATTGAAGCCATTCTCAACGTTTCTAAAATCACCTACAGCATATAGAAAATCCATTAAAAATCCATTAGCTTTTAACCTTGCAAACCATTTCCTAACAGATGAAAGGTCAGTTCATCTGCTTACTGCACGAGTGAAGTTCATGGACTTGTAGTCGTTAGAGTTAAGTGCATCCCCAGGTAACTTCCCTTTTCTGATTTCTAAATGTTCATTCTGCAGTCAGTAATCGGTTGCTAATCAAACTTAAACTAGTCATAAAAATAGAAAAGAAATTAATCACAACACTCAATTCATACCCTGAGATCTTCAAGGATTTTTGGGTGATCATGGAGGTACTTGACAGCCATCATCGATGTCGTGGAAACAGTTTCATAACTTGAATAAATCAGAGCAATGATCACATCGATGATCTGATCATTCGTCAGTTTTGCTTTTGATCCTTCCTCAGGCTGCAATAGGCAATCAAGCATGTCATGATGCAAGCTCGAAGAAGCTCTTCTTTCTTCAATAATCTCTGTCAACATACATATAATTTTCTTCCTTGCCTGAAAATGCAAAGTAATTTGTTAATAATGGACAAGAAATTTCTTGACAATGAACAAGTAATTTGACTATCTTATCTTTATTGTGGATATTGATTTTTTTTTTAATTTTTAGAGCGGGATTCTTACCCGTAATCTCCAAGAGGAACAAATGTTTTTTTATTTCTATAACTTTTGTAAGACACGTATACATTATATTTTTGTAATTGGGCATGTTTCATTAAACCCTTATTTTAAGGGCATTATACCCTCCTGTTGCGTGTCGTGCCGAAGCGTGCTTGACAACTAAACGAGTCCACGAGCGATGAGAGAAGAAAACCAAATCAAATACAAGTGCAATTCACCAAAACACGATACAAATCAAACTAAACACAGAGATTACGTGGTTCGGCAATTGCCTACGTCCACGGGGAGAGGATGAGAAGATTTCACTATATGGAGGAGAAATACAAAGGATTACAACTCACAAAATCACTCAAATATAACTCTAACCAAAGCTCTCAACTCCCTCACAATATCTCCCTCCAAAGTTCTCAAAAGACTGCTAATTCTCTCCTATTGAAACCCTAGAAACGTGTTTGTATGTATATCAAACACCCAATCCAAAACCAACCAGGAAAACCAAATCTGGCCCATAACTGCTTCGGGGTCGATCGGACATAGACCTACGGTCGACCGGCCAGAAAGACAAATTTAACCCTGTAATGTGCACGTTTTCGGTCGAACGGTCGAACTCGTTCGGTCGAACGGTCGAACGACCGACCAGAACAGGATTTCAAACCCTGTAAACCAACAGTCTGTCGGTCGATCGGGCCTATGCGTCGGTCGACATACTCGTAGCCAATCCTGTGTACTTCAAATTTTCTGTTCTTTTTCGTCGTTTCTTCAATTCTCCACCTCGAAGAAGATTTCCCAAAACCTAGTCGACACCAAACATGAGCACCACTGTGTCGTCTCACTAAATTTGGCTGCACCAATGTGGTTGCCTAAGTACCCCCTCTCATAATGGGATCAAACTGCCCGTAGTTCATTGTAGGTCGTCTAAAAATTACTGGAGATAACTAATCCTCATCAAACACCGATGATAGAAGTTACAATTTAACGACTTTCAGAAGGTTACAATTTGAAATTTTTTATGTAGATCGATGAAGGTTACAATCTGACAACCTTCACAACAACCGATAAAAACCCTAAGTCAACAGCCTTCACAATCAACATCGGGAGTTATAATCTGATGACACTCATATTTTTAAGGAGCCAAGACAAAGGTTATAAGATGACGATCTTTGCAACGCTCTAACAAAAGAGACTACAAATTGATGGTTTCTTCAAATCAAAACACAGATATCTCTCAAACCGTAAGGAATTTGGCGAAACGGACGGTGTTGGCCCGATGGTTTTGTCAAACAATTTATAGCTAATCTATTTTCTTTTTTTATGGTTTGTTTTTTCTCTTTACAGGAATTTAACACATGGCGATCAAGAGTTAAAGATTCAAGTTCATGTGTACGCTTTCTCCTACGTATAAGAGAAGTTTACTTACATATATCGTATGACTATATTTAAGCTCAATATGTAAACACAACACAAGTTTGACTTTTTCTATCATACAAATAACTTTTTATCAAACTTTATTACAATAGTTTTTATTTCATGTTTACATCTCTCTTATACTTCATAATATATATATATATATATTATATATATATATATATATATAATATATATTTATTATATTATATATATATATTATATATTATATATATATATATGATATATATATAATATATATATATATATATATATTATATGTATGCATGTATATATATACACAAGTTTACAAATCATCAGTTCATTTCTGTTATTCACGAAAAACAGGTTTTATGTACAGATTTTCACAAACAGTGATTTGTCAACAAAATGAAATCTTGTATTTTAAAATTCCTTTTCCAAAACATGTTTATGTTTATCTTTAGAAACTTTTCCAAAGTTTGACTATTTTTGGAATTGATTTTAATAGTTTTTATTGTTTTTAAAGTCAGTCAAAAACCTGTAAAAATCTCTGTGTCAGTTTGTGGTCGACACCCACACACGGTACTATCCCGCCTGCAGTTCAAAATCCCATTTTTCTTTCTCTCTACTCACTCGCAATCGTATGGCGGTCGACCGTAGCACATCCAGAGACTTTCGGCGTCGCGGTCGACCGCTACCTTTTCAGAACACTTCTCTTGCTTTTAACTCTTCGCGGTCGACCGCCATATTTTCACGGTCAACCGCCGAATTGACTGTTGTGTTGCAACGGCTATTTTCTGATTTAATTCTCTGGGGTTATTTTGGTCTTTTCAATGTGATTTTGGCTGATATCTTGAGTGGGTATAAATACCCCAGTACCTTCCTCTTTCAAAAGCATCTAGGAGTTTTGTTTACAGTGAGTTTTATCAAAAGATTAGCAAGTGGTTAAGCTAGTTTTGTTGGTCTGTTTTAAAAAAAGTTTTCTACAGCAAGAAGAGGCTTTCAATTCCAACTGAGGATCTTATCCTCATCATTCTACAGTTCTTAACTGAGGATCTTATCCTCATCATTCTACAGTTCTTCCTGTTTATTGAGAAGTTTTCTAAACTCATTTTCATATAGCTTGTTATTTCATTTTCATATCTTAGCTATATTATTTTAGTTACATATTTTCATTTCACTTTTATCACACATACTGTATTGAGCTTATAATATTTCCATACAATATATTATTGGGTAATGGTGTGTGATTTAGTGAGAGTGAGCTTCATTGTGTTCTTATTTACTATCGAGAACAAATCATTGTATTTAAACCCTTATTGTGAGTATCACTTGTAATACACTTGTATACCGAGAGAAGTATGAGGCGTGAGACGGGGTCGAATCCAATAGGAGTGGCGTCGGTTGACAAACCTAGGAAGAGGTTGTATCCGAGCACTTGAGGAGGAGGACACGGGCTAGAATCCTACACTTAGTGTGTAAAGTGTGATTGCATAGTATTTGTTGTGTGAGAGTTTTCGGTAAACTTGTAAACCGAGTGTGTAGAAGTTTCGGATTCCAAACCAGATTATGATAGTGGAGATCTCCTCGAGGTGAGGAGCGGGGACGTAGGTCGTGGGGACCGAACCTCGTAAACATATCGTGTGTTTATGTTTGCTTAGCGTATTTTTTTACTTGTGCTTATTCTTGTTCATATCTATCTCATATATCTCTTGCAAGAACAAACTAATCAATATAATTTTAATTGGCATAAAATAGGGATTAGATTAGCATAATACCCCTAATCACCCCCCTCTAGGGTCTAACAGACGGGAGCAACCCCAACCCTTCGGGTAGGTTTGGTCGGCTCTGCCTCGTTGAGATAGTCGATTTTCATATATAATTCGTCCAATTCCGATTTATGGTTTAAAAGTTATGACCTGTTCTTCGCAACAAGTTATGTTCTGAAGTCCGTCTGCAAGACTGGACTTCGCATGAACATTAGACTTAGCTTGAAGCTCGCCAAGCTCGCCTGAGGCTCGCCTCTATGTTCCAGAGTAAAAATGCAGAGTTTATCTCTGCATCCTAACAACAAAACGCAGGGTTCATCGCTACATTCCAGATCCAAACGCAGCTTTCATTGCTGCGTTTTTAGCCCAAAATGCAGGGTTCATCACTACGTTCCAGATCTAAACGCAACTTTCATTGTTGTGTTTTCAGCCCAAAATGCAGGGTTCATCACCGTGTTCTAGATCCAAACGTAGCTTTTATTGCTGCATTTTCAGCCCAAAACACATAACCTAACTCTGCATCCCAGGATCAAGACACAGAGTTCATTCCAAAACGCGAATTGTGCGTTTGACTGGTTCAAACAGAACCTAAACGGTTTCAAAATCGTTTTTTCACTTAATGGGGGGAGGTTACACCCTATAAATCCTCATTAAGGAGCAAATTAAGGGGCGATTACACCCCTTAATCTCCTATAAATAGCTAAAATTTTAGCTTAATTGGAACCCGGTTCTTTGGAGGGGATTTCTGGAGAATTGAGATCGACAATTATCTCTTAGAGCACCTTCGAATCTTGGAGGGACTGGAGCATCATCAAGATCCATTCTGGGAGCTTTTATTGGCTTGTGGATTATTTTCGGTCTAATTAAAAAGGATTAATTTTCTTTTCTCAGTTCAACTCTTTCATAGAGTTTCAAACTCGCACTGAGTTCTTAAACTCGTTAAGAGTTATTCTTAAAATTGTCATTGTGGAATTGAAACCCTAATCTCATTGATAAGATAACATGGGCTTATATAAGCCCTACAAAACACATCTTACAAATAAGCCCCTTAACTATACTAATATGTCAACACTCTTCCTCAAGATGGGCGAAAGATATCCACTAAGCCCATATTATCACATCCTCTAATCATATCTACTGAGCTAAGTCCCTTAGTTAGATAATCTGCTATCTGGTCTTTAGTTGAAACATGACTTAACTCCAGTAGTCTAC